AATATTTATGTATGTACCAGTACTCTCAAAAATACATAAAAAAATGATGGGCATAACAGAAATAAATGACTGTAGCTAGTGATTTCAACATGCTTTTTACAAAAGTTGTATTAAAGACCTAAACAATGATAACGTTTGAATAAACTTTAAAGCACATTTCCCTCCCCCCGCCCATGTATACAACCTGGTGACATAATCTCTTCTGACTCTCACACATGCACATGGACACACATACCACCTGGTGGCACAGTTCACTATATGTTGGCAGTTCAAAATCCACCAGCTGCTCCTCTGGAGAAAGATAAAATCTACTGCTGTAAAGATATTTAGCCTCAGAAAGCTAAGGAAGAGTTGCCATGAATTGGAATTTATTTGATGGTAGTGGGGTTGGGGTGTTTATGTGTGTCCATTTACATTTATTTACATAGTTTTATGTGAAGAAGACTGTGGTATCAGGATTGGTGGAAGACTCAATAGCCTGCATTATGCAGATGACACAGCCTTGTTCGCCAAACATGCAAGACTTAAAGCATTTGCCACAGAAGGTTGAAGACTGCAGGTTTCACTGGGGGTTGCATCTCAAGATCAAGAAAACGAGATCCTCAGCACTGGGCCAACAGGTATTATGATAGATGGAGATAAGATTGAGGTTGTTAACAGTTCCATTTTGTTCAGATCCACAGTCAACACCAGTGGCACCAGCAGTCAGGAAATCAAAAGACAAGTTGCATTGGGAAAATCTGTTGTCAAGGACCTCTCCAGAGAGCTAAAGAGCAATCATATCAGTATAGAGACTATGATGCATCTCATCCGAGCCATGATCTTCTCAATTGCTTGCTATTCATCTGAAAGCTGGACAGTGAGTCAAGATAACAGAAGAAGAGCTGATACTTTGAGTTGTTCTGGAGAACAGTATTGAACATGCTATGGACTGACAAGAAAGCCAACAGGTCTGTTCTGGTGAGGGTGAAACCAGTTTGCTCCTTGGAGGCAAAGATTTTTTAAGCTCCATTTGATATATTTTCAGCATGTTGGCAGGAGGGACCAGTCTTTGGAGAAGGACCTTATGCTTGGAACGGTGGAGGGACAGCCTAGGAGAAGCCCCTGAAGGAGATGGATTGACATTGTGACAGTGGCAGTGAGGTCAAATGTGTCAGAGATGGTGAAGTTGGCTCAGGTTCGGGCAAGGTTCAGAGCCATTGTTCTTAAGGTCGCTATGAGTCACAGTTGACACAACACACATCTCACAACAGTTTGCTGTTATGACCAATGGAGAACATACATTCTTTTTAGCATAACTGAATGCTGAACAAAATTAAAAATTGCTTCTTTGAAGATTAGGAAGAAAGACAAAACTTTAGCAAGACTGATGTTGACAAAATGCAAAGAAAAAACTCACAAGAAAGGAATAATTAGCCACAGACACAATAGAGGAAAACATAAAAAGGAGTAGAAAGAACAATTGTATATTGATCACTTAGAAAACTTAGAAAAATGGTTGACTTTCTGAAAAAAAATACTAAATGCTAGGACTGGTAGCAGGTGACTTGATGGCACATAACAACAACAGGACTGGTAGAGTGGTAATTTTTAAAACTACCATAACTCAGTGTAACTAGTAATCAGAGATCTCCACTCCCCATAATCCTAGGTACAAATGTTTCTACAGGTGGTTGCACCAGCCTCTCCGGACACATCTGATCCTATCTAATACAAGTTATTCCTGAACCTTATATAGTGAGAACGCATTTCATGGGATGAAACCAGTATGATCTTGGTGCTAAAACTGAATGAAGATGGCGTGAGAAAAGAACTTTACAATCTCAGTACATAGATACACAAAGTGCATAAGCAAAATGTGCACAGAAACCCATTTACAAATAATCGTTCAAATGTGGATGACGAGAAGACAGGCTCAGGTAACACAAGAAAAAATGCAGTGTATTTGGAAAAGAGAAATCTAGATAATATTCTTGAAATTGTCTTGGTAGAAGCAGAGCATCCAACAGGGATATTCCTAATGACGACAAATTCTTGGAAACCCAGGTCTGAGAAGGATTTTTCTTGGTGATGGTTACAGGCTAAAATTACTGCAAACATGTTGTTGGATGAGAAACATGAGCGCAAGTCTTAATTTAAATGATACCATCTCAGAGTACCATCCATGCTCCCTAATTAAGTAGCATCTGGTGCTGCTTTCTTTCTTGTTCTGTGTTACTTTTCTTCGTGGTCCTAATGCCGTGTCTTGTACCTCTTTGTCTGATTGTCCTTCCTCATTATGGCATAAAGTCTGAGGAGTCAGGGGCTCCATACCCCACTGTGGGACGACCACAGGAACTCAAACATTTGTTGAATGACTATCAAGAGTGGGGACAAAGGTGACGCAGTGGTAGGATTCCCACCTTTTATCCAGCAAACTTGGACTTGATTTCCAGCTCCCACCCATCAGGAGAGGTTTGGCCATTGCTGTGATGTTGAACAGGATCCACTGAAGCTTTCATACGGAGGTGGACTGGGAAGAGAGGCCTGGAGATGAACTTACAAAAAAGCAGCAGTAAAGACTGTGGATCACAAAGGCTGGACCCATCACTGGTCACGGGGGAGGGTGTCACACCAGGCAGCATTCCGTTCAGTTGCGTGTGGGTGGAAGTCGTCCCTGGATTGAAGCTAACAACAACAGAGATCAAGCGGCAGAAGGTGTTTCATCATCACTCTCTGCCCAGGAGAGTTCTGGAGGACACTGTCAGATAAGAAAAAGAAACAAAGGAACAAAGATCCAGGGCAAGGAGATGAGTCTCGTGATAATAGAAAACTCAAAAGGACCAGCAGACATGACTAAAACTCCTGAAAAATCCAAAGGTGACAGATAAAGATTAATTTGCACAAGCCAGGGCCAGCAAAGCCAACCAGAAGGCAACAAAGATGGCATTCAACATGGTAACCAAACCCAGAAAGGGTCTTGAGTTTATCTAGCAGAAAAATACATGAGGCCTTTTATAGAACTTCACAGACCTGAACAAATGGAGTGGTTGACTGGTGTTAAGCCAGACACCACACCTTACTGTCAAGTGGATTCCAACTCATAGTGGGTGACCAGTGGAGGGCCATTTGACACCGTAAAAGTGTCACCTTCAGTAAGTCTTTGAGTCCAGTGCAATTCCAGTCTATTCCATGAAAGGCACCCTGACAGTTCATAGTGTCTGGAAGGAAGACTCTCCTGATGTTTAAACGGACAAGGGTTTTGGCATCACTATGAAGAAGGATGGTAACAAATCCACGTGCAGAGGGAAAGAGGTGAAGGTGTGTGTTCACAGTACAGCCTTGTGGAGGCCGGGGATGTGCACCCGCAAGGTGTTTGACTTTGCTCTCCTGGGGAAGCAGGTGGAGACTCACGGGTCCTGAGTGAGGCGTGAAGCACAGGGGGCCTTCAGGAAGCTCAATGTGGTTAGGGACCATGAAGTCACCAGAGACTGACTCACAGAGACCCTCGGAACACACACGAGAACCTTCCCCTCTCCTGTGCCCTCATCCCCAGCTCTGCTATGCTCCATACAACTGTAGTCACTGGACCAGCTGTGAGGATCATCTCCTGCGAGAGCTGGGCAGTGAATGAGGCTGACAGAAGAATCGGTGCCTTTTAACTGCCCAAAGACCAAACATATACCTCAGAGAAGGTGCAGCCAGAGTGCTCCCTGGAGGTGAAAATGATATTGCTTCATCTCACATACTTTGGGCATGTTGGAGAGGTTATTTCTTGGAGAGGGACATGCTTGAGATAGTGGAGGGGCAGTACAAGAGAGGAAACCCCTCAGCCAGGTGGGTTGACACAATGATTGTGACAATGGGCTTGAGTGCATCGGAGATTGTGCAGATGGCACAGGACAGGACAGTATTCAGATTGGTTGGTTGTTCATAGGGTTGCTATGAGTAGTACTTGATAGTGTCTAACAACAGTTATCAAGTAGGAACCAATGTATAGCTGGCACTCCAGTGAGTTTTCAAAGGCTGTAAACTGTATGGAAGGAAATTGTCTTCCAACATCAGGGAAGCTGATGGATTTGAACCGCTTGCCTTTGGGTTGGCAGCCACCTCCTTGCCACGAAGCCACCGGAGGCACAAACATTCATGCCTGCCGTCAGAATCCTCCAGCAATGCTGTTCCTGGACACCAGGGAGTGCCTACACATGTGCAGGCTCTTGTACAAAGTGTGGAGGACGCTGGGGACAGCCTGACAGGACAGGCAAGTGCAGTGAAGTGGTCAGAAACAATGGGCCAGACTGAGTAGCACAGAGAGGCCCTAACGACCATGTGTGAGATGGAAAGTAGGATGAGGTCATAACCCCTTATGTTAATGACTTCCCCCGCCCATTCATGGGCGCTATTTTACAAGAACACTCAGGTATTTGAAGATGCACATTCAGCATGAATGTGGCTGTGGAGGGGGGTGAAGGGGAGTGTCTCAGCCCTGCTAGTGGAGAGACTGGTCCAGGCCAGGTCACCTTGAGAATTTCCCTGGAACACAGCCAACTGTGGTCTTTCTCTGGCTTCATTCACTGGGGAAATCCAGGTTTTAAAAGAAGTATTTTAATGTCTTTGGAAACGTCAAAGATAGAATATCCTCTGGGGCGGGGGGTGAGGGAGGTTTGCGTGGACCATGTGGGTGGGGTGAATGGAAGGGCATGGGATCCACAATGTCCTCTCCAAGCGCCCCAGGTAACCCCTGCGGAGTGCACAGGGTACATGATTGATCAGGAGGGTCAGGCCTGAGGCAGTTAGGACCTGGGCTTTGGGAGCAAACCAAAGCCCCATGGGAGGTTCCTCTGGCTAAACTGGCAGTGGTCAGACCTGTCTCCCAGCAGGGCAGTGTGCACCTTCCTTCCCTGTGACGTCCAGGGCAGGGACCTTGGGGAGACCCAGGTGCCATCAGTGTCCTTGGGACAAGCCCACGCTCCCTGGAGTGCAGGCTCCAGCGGGCCCTCGCTGTGGCGCTGACCGGCCCCTTACACGTCCGTCTCCACACGCAGCCTCTCCATCCTGCGCACGTTGTCCTCCACGGCCACACGGCTGGTGATGGAGCGGGCAAAGTCCTCAGGGAACCAGCCTGTCTCCCCGTCCCGCAGCCGCTCTCCGAACAGCCAGCCTGAGCAGAGTGGACAAGGAGGGGGGAGTGAGGGGGCCTGCCCTGGATGCCAGCAACCCCAGGGCCCCCAGGCTGCTACTGCAGAGACACCATGGCTGGTGATCACACCAGGTCCTGCTGCCTGAGGGGAGCCATGGGCAGAGGTGGCCTATGTGGACCTCTAAAGGGTCCACACAGTTCAGGGTGTGGTCACAGGGAGGCAGTGAGGGGCTGGGCCCATGGAAGAGTCTGTTGCCTGGAGGGGCGTCTCAGAGGAGCAGTGGGAACCCTCTTGACAGCCAGTTAGCTGTGACCGGTGCTGGGGACTTGAGACCCCACCCAACCCCTACCCTGACCTTTTGAGGCAGGCTGCAGGTCTTCTGTAAGATGCTGAGAGCCGATACCACACCTGTCACACACCTGGGCCTGGGGTTCCCCAGCCCCACCCCTGCCCACTCACCGTCTTCCTGCTGCAGGACCAGGACCACGTCTGCCTGCTGCAGTGACACTTCGTCTGCCTGCTTGGCCAAGTAGGCCTTGGTGACCTCCACCTGTTGCAGGTCTGGGGGCAGAGAAAGAGGCATTAGTGGAGAGGACCCTGGAGCTTTGCCTGGTGCACCCTTCTCTGCACAGCTGTGGGGAGGATGGCTGCTGGTAGACACATCCGGGAACTGGGGAATGAGTCCACATGTGGAGAGGTGCCAGCTTGCTGACTGGGCCATGGTGGCCTCTCTGTGGGACAGGCCACCTCTGCTACTGGGGCCAAAATTCCTGGTCTCCAAGGTGAGGGGCCACCCTCTATGGCATAAGCCTCAGTTTCCCCAGTTCCTAGAGCCAGGGTGGTGATCTCTCCCATGGCAAATGGGCAAGGTTCCAAGAAAGGCTGATAATAAACGTGGATAATACACCGGCAGCCGGGGCTGGAGTCTAGGCACGCCAGGGTCCCCTCATCAAGGCTGTGGTGAGGACAGAGGGCGGGATGTGCCCCTCTTCTCCAGGCCAGCACCCCCAAGCCTGGGAAAGGAGGCTGGGTGCCCCTGTCGCCCAGCTCACCTCCTTTGTTGGTGTGGCCTTGCCATTCTCTTTCCTTGTGTTGCAGCGCTGTGATCCACCGTGCCCGGTCACTCCTGGGGGCCAGAGAGTGTGAGTGAAGCCCTGAGGCCCCTCTGCCTCTGGCTTTTCCAGCAGGTGACCCTCAATTCTACCCCTTATAGTTCACTTCCTGTATAGCGTGATGCAAAGGCAGCATTTACGTTACATGCCAGGCCCCGTTTTCATGGCCTGCACGCTGTAGTTCACTATCTTGGCTGCTTCTGCCCCAGGGCCTTTGCACAGCCACCTCTGCCAGGGCAGTCCTGCCGGGGGCTCATGGTACCTTCCCTCCAGTTTCTGACCCAGACCTCATATTGTCCATGAGGCCTGTCTCACCAGCTCCCTCACTGGAGGTTCCCCCCTTCCCTGACTCCTTTCATCCCTGAGTTCTGACCCTTCAGATACATTAAAGATCTCAGATATTTATTCTAGAGAGCAGCTATGTACACCCATCCACACACACATTGGAACTGGCTATGCCCCCAACCTCATGCCCCTGCTCCCCCCATCAGAGCTGGCTGTGACCCCCCCAGACCTATGCCCTTAATCCCCCCATATCAAAGATGGCTGTGCCCCCAGTCCTATGCCCTGTCCCCCCTCATCAGAGCTGGCTGTGCCCCAGTCCTATGCCCCTGTCCCCCCATCAGAGCTGGCTGTGCCCCCGGCCTCATGCCCCTGTCTCCCCATCAGAGCTGGCTGCGCCCCTGGCCTCATGCCCCTGTCCCCCCATCAGAGCTGGCTGTGCCCCCGGCCCCATGCCCCTGCCCCCCCACATCAGAGCTGGCTGTGCCCCC